TGTCTTTAGGGGATATGTAATGTCTAAAGTATGTCTAGTCGTATGATGTAGTCTATGTAATGATAACTCAAACTTCAGTCTATGTAATGATAACTCAAAATGCATGGGGTTTTCATCTGAAAATTGTATTATTTCTTTGCGGTGATTACATTCCAAATTCTCTCTCTGGTTATCTTCCCTGTAGGACTCTGCTGTTTGCTATGATCACCCTCTGTGTGATAGAACACGTAACCTATTCCGCTTGTCTAACTGTAACATTGTATCTGTAAGCAGTCTCTTCCCAGTCCCTCATCTCCTGGCCTCTTTCATCTAATCCTATGAACTCGGATTTTTTAAGAATTCCGTCTATGAATGAACACACACATCTGTTTTCCCATGCCTGGCTCATTTCACATAACATTAGTGTCTCTGGGCGCTTCCATGTTGCTACCACCTTTGACAGTCTTTCCGGTTCATTAGATAAGTTGAAAGTTGACTAGTTAATCCAAGACTGCTTCCTTATTACAGAGAGTAGATCGAGTCAAAACATATAGACGCATTCGATATGGCAGGCACCTGAGTTCTCAGCATTAATTATAACAGTACCTCCAGGGAAATGCCATTTAGGAAGGGAGGGGTCCTATTTGCATGTTTTGTGCATTGTGGCTCTTAACAGTCAGCATTTCCGGGGCCAGAGAGATGGCTCAGAGGTTAAGAGCGCGCACTGCTCTTGCAGAGGACCTGAATTTGACGCTTCAGCCAATTAGGCAGCTCTCAGTTGCCTCTAACCTCACTTTCACGGAATCCGATGCTCCTGGCTTCCTCAATCTCTTGCATTCACATCTGCATACCCACACACAGACACACTTACATTCCCAGAATTAAGATTAAGTCTTAAAAAATTATTTTAGGGGTTGGAGAGATGGCTCAGCAGCTAAGAGCTCTGACTACAGGGCTGGAGAGATGGCTCAGAGGTTAAGAGCACTGGCTGCTCTTCCAAAGGTCCCGAGTTCAATTCCCAGCAACCACATGATGGCTCACAACCATCTCTAGTGCGAACTGATGCCCTCTTCTGGCATAAAATCATAGGGCACTCATATACATAAAATAAATAAATACATATAAATTTTAAAAAAAATGTCATTTGGTAGTTGACCACCTACCTAGACGCTGCTTGGAGCCACGGGAGTTGCCAGGTTCCTTCACATCTGAACATGCGCAATTCTCCAGTCTGGCTTGAGAGCCTTGTTGTCCTCACAGACACAGGTTCTTCTTGATTTCAGGGCAAACAGCTGAACCGGTGTCAACAAGAGGGCCGACTGGATGCCCCAGCCCAGCTGGCTGTTTGTCAAGCACTGATTCATTCGACAAACACGGAGGTTCTGTTGAGGAAACAGTCTGAGTGAGCAGGCAGGTGGCCCCATTAGCCAAGAGCCTCCTCTCCAGGGAGGCTTCCCAATGTGGAGGGAGCAAATGTAACACAAACACTGGCCACACAGAGCCGAATAAGCGCCTCGAAGGAGGCGATTGCAAATCCGGGGTGCAGCACCAAGGACGTGATCGGTTCCAGCTGTTTGTGAGTTGTGGGCGGGGCTTGCCGGACAAGCCCGGGTTAGGCTTGTGCCTTGGAAGGTGAGCTGGGATGGGGGCATGGGAGGCTGTGCGATGCTAGGGAGCCAGCACAGAAAGGGGGAACGTGCACGAAGTGTTCAGGGCTGGGTGCTCACCAGATACATGGAAGAAGATGAAGGTGGACACCTAGACCTCGGTAAAGATCTCGGCTCTGCGTCTTCGAGCCGTAGCCACAGTTATCTGATGCCTCCCGTGTTCGGATGCATACAGTGGAGCCCGTGACAGCTGCTTATGGAGCCGTGAGGACTCAAGCGGTGTGTGTCCCACCCACTCCAGCCTTATTCCAGCAGTTGTACAGAGGTGTGCTCCGGGTCTCACACCATGGAAGGCTGTGCTGTGGGGTGTGTGTAAGGCATGGAGACCCTGCCGGGACCTTGAGGTCCTGGATGCTGAAGGACTGGGGACAGGTGCTGTGTTTCTGTCATTCAGGAACTTGGCTTAAGCACAGATCACTCCCAAGGGTGTTTGAGGGTAAAGGAGGGTGTGAATACATGTTACAGGAGAAAGGGGCAGGACTTCTACCTAACAGAAGGCAGAACTTGGCTGAAACAGCTGCTTCCTCCGATCTTCGTGGGGGTGCCTGTCTACAAGCAGAGCATGATTGTTCCCACCTTCCCTTGCTCACTGGATCCCCCTGCTGACGGCCACAATCCAGGGCGCATGTGCAGCCATGGTGGGAAAGACTCCAGACCTCCCCCCGCCCCACCGAGCCTTAAGTGAGAGCCCAGGGCCTTTCATCAGATCCTTCCCCTCGTGCTGAGTCCGGCACTAAAAGCTTCAGAACTCATTTGTTCTGTGCCCAGTGTGGCCTCCAGCATCCTCTGATAGGAACTGACTGTCCACCATCCCCTGAGAGGAGCTGTGAGCCTTTCTCTCAGGATGGCTCTGAGTGCCAGCGCCTGGGGAGGTGAGGGCCAGGCACCAGGTACTCTACTGGCTTCCTTTCCCAGACTTGCTTGAGTTCAAGGTACATGGGTGTCCGGAGGCTCTTCCTAGAAGCAGTTTCTGTGGGTGTTGTCCGTGAGCCTCTGCGGGCAGGCCCAGGCTGGTCCTCACCGGAAGTCGGTGCTCTGTCTAAGGTGGTGAGTTTTTCTCACTGTCACGTTGCCTGCTTACCCTTCTGGGGACAGTCATCTCCCTCACTCGGACATCAGTCTTGTGTACGTCTCGCACACAGTAAATCTTTACCAGGTCAGATGAATCTCTTCACAGATTGGTTTGTGTGAATTCGACGTGTGAGTTGTGAGCCATTTTGAAGAAATGTGTATTTTCCTGTGCATGTAATTCAAAGTAGATTAGCAGCGCTGGCTGGTAGAGGCTTAATGAGAAGATAATTATTTATAATTACAGTATCAAGTGCGTGTAAGTGCTTGAGGATGCTTGAAGAATTTGCCTTTGAGAGCCTTAAACACGGCCTCACACATCTTCTCCACAGCGTTAGTTTGTGGCGTCTGTGGAGAAAGGCTGGGGCTGTCGGAGGTGTGTGTCCCTCTAGCTGTGGTTCCAAATGGTCCCTCACTACAGAGTGACGGACAGGGCCTTCCTTCCGGGCACGAGGCAGGTGCAACTCTGACGCTCGGGAGAGTCCCCTCCCAGTGATGTAAGGGAGAGGGCAAAGTGCTAGGAGGAAAGACTAAGTGATAGTGTTTGTGCAGGGCCAGTGCTGGACACAGTGCTCTTGGTTGCCAGATGGGGGCGAGCAGAAGCAATGTCCTTGTCCAAGCAAACTGGAAACAAACACCGGACAGAGGTACTTCCCTAATAAGACGTCCTTCTGGGTGCCGCATGACGATCCTCAGGATTATTGGCTTGGGGCGTGTGGGGAGAGATTGGCCTTCTTCCAGAGAATGAAGCTATCAGGTCCTCTGAGCAGGTGTCCATGTGAAGGCAGCCATATGTGTCTAGGAACAGGTGACGGGAGGCTTGCCAAGGCTTCAGTTGGTTTTGTTTTTGTTTTTGTTGTTGTTGCTGCTGGTGGTGATGGTTATGGTTGTGGTAATGGTGGTGTGTTGGTGGTGGTGGTTGTGGTTGTCATGGTGGTGGTGGAGTGTGGTGGTTGTGGTTGTGATGGTGATGGGGGGTATGGTTGTGGTGGTGGTGGTGGTAATGGAGATGGTGGTGGTGGCAGCTTTGTTTTTATAGTGCATTGGCTCCATTAACAAGAAAGCCAAGTGTAGCCAGCAGCGGTGACGCACGCCTTTAATCCCAGCACTCAGGAGGCAGAGCCGGGTGGATCTCTGAGTTCGAGGCCAGCCTGGCCTACAGAGCGAGTTCCAGGACAGCCAGGGCTACACAGAGAAACTATCTTGGGGGTGGTATTGGGGGCCAAGTGCTTGGCATTTGTCTAGCTAAGTTCCCTAAGTGCCACGCTCACGGCCTCACTGGACAGTTTTCAAGTGTATGTCAAGCCAGGTGACCTAGTACAGAATGCTTTACAAGTGGAGCAGAGGGAGAGCTCAGGGCCACCCACACAGCACAGCTCCCCCATCCCTCAGGAGAATCACCCTGCACAGGAAAGGAACCTTGCCCTCCCTCCAGGCCTGCACTGGGTGCCATTCCAGATGCCAGGCCCTCACTTGCTGGGCATGTAGACACTCCTAAATCTTCTCTTCTCCCTATCCACCTCCATCCCTGTAGCTGAAGTTTTCCTGTGTCCAGCCTGGTCTGCAGCCACTCAGACCCAAATAAACACTCAGAGGCTTATATGAATTATAACTGCTCAGCCATTAGCTCAGGCTTTCCACTGACTAGCTCCTACACTTAAACTCAACCCATTTCCGTTCATCTATATGTTGCCATGTGTCCTGTGGCTTTACCTGTGTGCCATTCATTACATGCTGCTCCTTGGACGATGGGCTGGCGTCTCTTGACTCAGCCTTCCTCTTCGCAGAATTCTCCTCATCTGCTCTCCCTGCCTGTACTTCCTGCCTGGCTACTGGCCAATCAGTGTTTTATTAAACCAGTTTACAAGAGCATTATTCCACAGCACATCCCTTACATTCCTTTCTTTCTTTTATACTTCTCATCCTTTTCTCTCGGTGACTATAAGTGTTCAGGTATTGTTGCCATAAAAGCAATAAACTTTTAGTCCTCATAAAATCATTTGGCCTAAACCACTGCTCATATTTTACGACATGGATCCAGCCTGAGATGGGGACATGCCAGAAAGCCACACCAGGGCTCTGGCAGACCTCTTACTGGAAAAGTGACAGGTCCAGAATTGGTGATGAAGGAAAAATTTCTGACGAGATTCTCACTGAAGCTCAAGCCCACACAAGCTCAGGCAGCCATGTTAACAGCACTGCAAAGTAAGTTTTTTATTTTTTATTTTTATACAATCAACTTTGAGTATTTCATAAATCCAAGTTGAGATCCAGTTAAACTGTGTGTTATCCATGGGCTTCAAGCGACATATATTTTCTTTGTAAGCCTCAGTGTTCTCATAAAAGAGGGCTAGCGTGAAAGATATATGGGCGCTTAAGAAGCTTTAGCACTGTGCCTAATTCACACAGACGTACTCAGTCCTGTTAGGGAAACAAGCTCGAAAGGAAGAAGGCTTGGACTTCTGTCTTGCTACTGACTTAACTTCTCGGTGCCTGGTTCCCTCGTTTGCAAAATCAGTATCAACGGCAGAATCTACCTCAGAGAGTGTTTCACAGATAAGCTCCTGTATGTGTCACTGAGGTGACTTTGTCCTTCTTTGGCTTGAAGTAGGATAATGCTTCCTTGTCCCCAGGAGTCATAGAGGCGCATGATTTGTGGAGCAAGACACCGACGACGTGTCTCTCTGGGAGACGCGTAAGGAGCTGGTGGTGAACAACTCCACAGCATCCCAGATGGTATAGGTTCCAGCACTGCTTGGGTCTTACAGCTGACTTGAGCGGCTGGAATGAGCAAGAAATAGACCTTAAAAAGAGAGAGAGAAAGAAATGGGGGGTGCAGGATGGGGGAGGCACTGAGATTTGAGCCGCTGAGATTTGACACTGTTGCCATGGCAAAGGCTTGCATATCCCGGCTGGCACACTGTAGGAACAGCCTTTACTCTAGACTGGAAACGTGGAAGTCAGCTGAGCCAAGTTAAAAACAGTCAAGAACACTAAGAGTGATGAGATACCTGGGCCACGGGGGGCCCCCTCAAAACTCTTGGGTTCTGATCATGCTGCCCCTTGTGGCCTGGGTGTAAATCTGCACCCTTAGGTGCCCTGAAATACCCATTGTTGTAGAAGTGGCTGCCTGTCAGAAGGACCTGCCCCTTTCCTTGTGTGTCCCAATTCAGGCTACCTTTCTGTGGCAGAGGTCTCTTGTGCCTGGCCTTGGGACTAAATAGACAGTTACTAGCTGTCTGTTTTTCTGAGCTGACTAGGTATCTGCAATTCCGAGCCTCAGTCCATGTCCCTTAGGGATCTCTTAGGCCATCATTGGTTGGTTGCTTGCTCCATGATAATGGAGCAATCAGGAGTCCAAATAGCGTGGCCCCAGCATCCTGCTGGTGAGTCCCGCCACCACCAGCTGCACCAGAAGGTGGCAGGCAGAGGGGCAGAAAGGGAACCCGACGTGTGCAGAAGGGGCCGAGAATGAAGGGTGGCCCTACCTATAACAACCCGCTCCCAAGTGAGGAAACGTACTTCTGGGAAGCCAGCATAGCTGTGACTTTGTCCATGACAGCAGAACCACGAAGGCTTCCTCTCATGGCTGTGCCACCTCGGCACCAGCACGTGGACCCCTGGGGACCTCTGGGACAAATTACATGTTAACCATAGAGGATACACAGGAGCGCCCTGCTCCTTCTGGGTCTGTTGCCTGGGTTTCCAGGGTGTCCTTGCACATCCGTTCTCTTGCTGTAGGGACCAGAGAGGTAAACGTGCAGCAGCAAGCCTAAGTGCTGAGCCCTGAGCTCACTCCTAAGGACCACGTTGTACCAGAAGTCAGGGTGGATGTGAGTTACCTTGGGACGCTGCTCAAGAGGCCTGATTCGCTGCCGAGATGACTCAGGGTCAGGTTTTGACGTCTGTCCAGGGCTTAGCCTTTTCCTCAGCCTTTGTTCCAGCACGCTGAGGGTGACAGTGGAAATGTTTCTGCCGCCGCCGCCACCGGAAGAAAACACAATTAGAAATGGTATTTCACGAGGATGCTTGGTGGTCTGCCTTTTATCCAAGTAATAACGGCCAGGGCATTGTGGGAGGACGGGAAGAGTCAGCCGTCCTTTTTAAAAACAGCCACTCTTCCTGCCAAAACAATGTTACATTGGCTTGAAATTTTTTTTAATGGGCTAACACAGAAGGAGCATGATAAAGAATGACCCCCTCCTAACCCCGCGTTGTAAAAATAGCCGTTGTTAATACAAAGGTGCTTGTTTTTTCTTGCACATTTTACATAAAAGTATGCTTTTAAATGAAATTGGGGAGATGGACAGAAAACACTGATGGAAGCCATTCTGTGTGCCAGGGTTCTGCAGTTCTTTGTGTGTTAGCTATTTATTCTTCACAGTGACTGGAAAATATTGCATGTGCACATGGGTGTGCGTGTGCATGTGCGTGTGTGTGTGTGCGTGTGCGTGCGCGTGTGTGCATGTGTGCATGTGCATGCACGCGTGTGCATGTGTGGAGAACTTTGGGTATCCTGCTCATTTATTCCCCCACTGTATTCCCTTGAGACAGGGGCTTTTCACTAAACCTGGCGCTAGGCTAGACACCAGGAAGCCCCAGTATGCCCTAGTCTCCACACGCTCCACAACACGGGTATACGCATGTGCACAGCCCTACCCTGCCTTTTTTTTGAATGGGTGCTTGGGATTTGAACTCAGGTCCTCACACTTGAACAGCAACCACCCTTACCCAGTAAGTCATCTCCCCAGCCCTTCTCTAAAGAATCTGTAAGTCCATTTTGTAGAGGAGGAGACGGAGGCAAGGAGAAGTTAAGTGGTTTTCAGAGGCTGTGCAGTCTGTAAGGAGAAGGGGTAAGATGAAGGAGTCAAATCTGCCTCCAGGGCCCTCAGTCTGGACTCTACCATTGCCAACTTCAATTTGCAGTGTGCTGTATTTCCTCATATGATGCAACATTCACCCTTGTTTCTATCTCCCCCCCCCCCTGCGCCTGCCCCATTCTGCAGATTGGGTGATAGAATCCCACGTGTGTGACTTAGTTTACCCAAAAGCATGTAGCTAGCACACATCAGTGCTGGAACAAACCCACATCCCCTCATGCACACAGTCCATATACATGTTAACTGCAGGTGATCTGGGAACCTCTGACCTCCTCCCACTAATTCTGAAAGCAAGTTGCGTCATCCAGGGGCCGGGGCCAATTCCAAGATAAGCCATGCAGGGCTGGCCGGCTTCAGCTCTCTTCCTCACGCGTACGATTTGCCTCAGTTGACCCCCAGGAAATCTGTGGGCAATGAGCAATGTATACCTGGCCCTCGGTTATCTGTGCAATGGTCAGGCTTTATATAAAAGACCAAAATGTGCACCCCCAAACAGCTCTGCCACTCTTCAGACGTTTTTTAACTGAGATTTGCTGACAGGCAGTTAAGGCTGACAGATTTGAGCTGTAAGTGATGTTGGCTTTCCCCAACCCAGAGTCTTGAGGACATGCCAAACATTGTTACAAATTTAAAGTAAGGCAGAAGTCGGTCCGCCTCTTGGGAGTAAACAACGGTCTCTGTAGATAAGGCTGCCCCGGACCTGCAGCCTTTAAAAGAACCCGGCCCCTTGCCTTGGGACTACCTCGGTGGCTGACCAGCCCAGGGGTGTGGAGAGCTGGAGAAGGATGAGCAGGGGGTGACTTATTGACCAGTTTTTCCAGGTAAACCATCAAACATTTCTCTTCAGACATAGTAAGGGAATCCTCAAAAAAGAATGTCAGTTGTTTTATGTATTTATATAACTTTATTTGATCTTATCTGTGGATTCTAAGAGAGCAAGAGCAAATGCTTATGGAATCATAAACAGGGTTGGGCAAAAAAACCCAAGAATGTTGTGTAAATAGGCCAAGCCAATGGACACTGCTGGGATTCCCCTGGGGGGAAGAGTAATGTAGCCTTGACTGACAGGGCCCAGGAGTGCTTCTGCTTGCTTTAAACTTCATTTTAACAGTTTAAACACGCAAGTCCACAACGTGTTCAGATTGTAAATGTTCGTGTTTTACATACTGGCATCTTACCTAAGTGTAAGTTACACTTCATTTAAAGATCGGAAACCCTTATTGGATGTGTGTGTATTGTCACACGGTGATACTCGGGTTTCTTTTTAGTTGAATCTGTTTGGAACGACCTGGGTTCTGGGAAACAGTTCTACCTGGAACTGTCAGGGCTATATGTCCAGAACACCTGAGGCTACGTTCTTTATTCTATGAATCGGTAACTTGAATGACTTCAGTGTAGACTCCTTGAAATAAAGAATGATGTCATTTTAGTGGCTCCGTTGTTGACAACCCTTTGTGAATAAAGGAAGTGCTGGCCAAGGCTGGGTACAGCGGTGACATCATCTCTCCTGCTCCACTCTCCTGCCGATGAGCAATAAGAACAGGATTAAGTAGGACCACAGGATAAAAGGGCAGCAAGAAGGCTGGCAGAATGAATCGGCTTCTCCCGGCCCTGGGGAAGCTAGGGAAGAGGCATTTGAGTGGCCCTCAGAAGCACGGTAGGATGTTGATCAGAGGTAGATGAGCAGCAGACACTGTGAGACGGTCCATAGGATGCTCACATTCTCCGCCTCCTTGCGGACTGGCTCACTTGGGATACATGGCATCCCTCAAAGTCAACTGAGGCTTCAAAGGTGAGCTGGGGCCTCGCCGTGGCTGGGAGGTGTGGTTTCAGCTGGAGGGTCTTCGGAAGTCCAAGTCTGTGCCTCGGAAGTGTGATCAGATCTGTTATCTCCTGTGACGTTCAATTCCCAGCCTCATGGCCGTACAGCCCCATGAACTGCCCTGTCTGTGGCAAATCAGGAGGTTCTAGGTTTCATCTTTGTTGCTGTTCTCATTTGGACCCGTCGCTGTTCCAGTTCGGTAATGAGCCTTGGGTACATGGCTTCCAAGGGCTCTCCCGTGACCACCTCGAAGATCACCGTGTACCAGACACTCCTCCTTCCTGAGCAACCAAAGCCAAGGTTCCTCTGTCCTCTTTTTACACACATCTTGTTTTCGAGTCTCACAGTGATTTGGCGTTTACTTCCTTCCAGCCTGACTTTCGTGACCCTTCATGATGCTCTCCCACCAGAAAAATGCAACGTGGAAGGGCACCTGTGTGTAGGAAGAGGGGCGGAGAGGGAACACTAATAAATTTGTACAGATTTTGTCAGAGACTTCATATGCTGACCTTTGCCTCCTGTCAGAATCGCTTCTTCCTGATGAGGCACCGGGCAGGATTTAGGACGGTGGCCGACTTCATACTCATGTTGAACGTGGTCTGTCTGGGGTCACTCAGACACTGTGAGGTCTATCTGTCTGTTTTATTCCTTAGTAACCTTTTGCTACTAGCTTACTGGTCCTTTTACAGGGTGGGAAGGGGTAACTTCCTCCAAATATTGCCTTGTCTCCTCTTGGGTAACATCAAGGCATTATTCTTATCAAGGGGATGTTAACTCAACGACTGAGATGCTCCAGTTTAGATATTGTCATTGGAGATACGGTCAGCCTCTCCAGTGGCTCATTTTTCATCCTCTGAGGACAGTGTCAGAGTAATAGGGTGAGAGGCGGCTTGGATTCAAACCCTGGCTCTGCAGCACTTTTTCTACGTGTGTGTGTGGCTTTGGCATGATCCATGCCTGGCTTGGTCATAAGGATCGAACAAGATAATCCCTGTGAACGCATCTGCACACTTGGTGTGCGGTCTGATTTTGACCTTCCCTTGTAGAGCACAAACTTCTGACCCTGACCACGATGCCCAATACTGCTTTATAGTTCTTAGTCTGGACAACCTGCAAATGTAAAAGCAGCGTCATGTTATCTTTGTGCTATCACAGTGGTTCTCAACCTGGGAGCCCAGATCAGCTATCCTTCATATCAGATATTTACATTATGGTCCATAACAGTAGCAAAATTACAGTTATGAAGTAGCAATGAAATAATTTTGTGGTTGGGGGTCACCACAACCTGAGGAACTGTATTTAAAGGGTCGCAGCCCTAGGAAAGGTTGAGAACCACTGTATGATCATCTGTTCGCTTGTTTTAATAATTGTGGTTGTAGTTTGGAGTTATTTGTTTCCTTATAGAGATACTGTTACATTATGCAATTATCAAAGTTAATCATGCACCATACAGTTCTGTCACATCTGCTTAATGGTTCTATTTGAAAAATAATTTTCTCGATGGATGTATCTGCTAAAGTTTCTTCTTCTTCTTCTTCTTCTTCTTCTTCTTCTTCTTCTTCTTCTTCTTCTTCTCCTTCTTCTTCTTCTTCTTCTTCTTCTCCTTCTTCCTCTTCCTCCTCCTCCTCCTCCTCCTTTTTCGTTAAATGACTGGGTTCTGTATTAGAGGCACCACTCATAATGAAGCAAGCCTCCCAAATTACATGAGTACTGGAGAACCCAGAACTGACTGGGTTCCTCGTTCCATTATGCGCCTTCTACCCTGCCCCCCCCCCCAATAGCTACCACATACAGATGGCAAATGGGCTACACTGGAGATAGGATTTCACATCCAGGCAGTTACAGCACACACAGATGGAGGAAGGAATTGGGCTGACCTACCTTCTTAAGCTTGGGAGGATTAGTACAGAGTGACCATCCTGTAGACACAGGCCGTTGGACAATGTGTGTGCCCCATGTGCGTGAACAAATTCTGTCCCACTGAATGTCTCGTTTGCTTCAGGTGTCAACGTGTTTCTCGTGTCCCTGCAGGTAGAACGTCATGACATGAATACCCTCAGCCTACCCCTGAACATACGCCGAGGGGGGTCAGACACCAACCTCAACTTCGATGTCCCAGATGGTATCCTGGACTTCCACAAGGTCAAACCCAACACGGACAGCCTGAAACAAAAGATCTTAAAGGTGACGGAGCAGATCAAAATCGAGCAGACGTCCCGCGATGGGAACGTCGCCGAGTACCTGAAGCTGGTCAGCAGCGCGGACAAGCAGCAGGCCGGGCGCATCAAGCAAGTCTTCGAAAAGAAGAACCAGAAGTCGGCGCACTCCATCGCCCAGCTGCAGAAGAAGTTGGAGCAGTACCACAGAAAGCTGAGGGAGATCGAGCAGAACGGCGCCTCCAGGAGCTCCAAGGACATTTCCAAGGACAGCCTGAAGGAGATACACCACTCGCTGAAGGATGCCCACGTGAAGTCGCGAACTGCCCCCCACTGCCTGGAGAGCAGTAAGTCGAGCATGCCGGGGGTGTCCCTCACGCCCCCGGTGTTTGTCTTCAACAAGTCCAGGGAGTTTGCCAACCTGATCCGGAATAAGTTCGGCAGCGCCGACAACATCGCCCACTTGAAGAACTCCCTGGACGAGTTCAGGCCCGAGGCCGGCGCCAGGGCTTACGGGGGCAGCGCCACCATCGTGAACAAACCCAAGTACGGCAGCGATGACGAGTGCTCCAGCGGCACCTCCGGCTCAGCGGACAGCAACGGGAACCAGTCCTTCGGGGCCGGTGGGGCCGGCACGCTCGACGGCCAGGGCAAGCTGGCCATGATCCTGGAGGAGCTGAGGGAGATCAAGGACACCCAAGCCCAGCTGGCGGAGGACATCGAGGCGCTGAAGGTGCAGTTCAAGAGGGAGTATGGCTTCATCTCTCAGACCCTGCAGGAGGAGAGGTACAGGTACGTCCGTCGGGGCACCCCGCTGCGGTTCCTTTAGACACGCGAGTTACCAGGGAGAGGCTGTCTGTGTCTTAGAAAGTCACGTGCTAACGAACCTGTTAGCCGTAAATAGGGATGTGGGTGCAGAGGCATTTAAAAATTGATATTTCTTTCCACCCTTCGTACCTCTGAAGTTCCATCACTTCTGGCTTATGGCTGACAATTAGAGGCAGACGTTATATGCGTGGGTCTCTTAAAACGTCATTATCCAAGCTGTGACTCACGTGCACATTAAGACATTGATTCATCAGACTTCTGTGATGGTCTTATTACGCTAATTTAGAGACCTGTTTCCCTCCGTAATACCAGTCAAGTGGACCTAATTTATTGGACAACGAGGTAGTGCTTGCTACGCAGGAATGACACGTTAAGTCCTGATACTCGGCACCCTTGTGAAAGCCCAGCAAGGCAGCGCAGGTCTGGAACCCCAGCACTAGGGGGCAGTAGAGACAGGCGGGTCCCTAGAACATGCCAGCCAGCCAGCTTAGCCAGGTTCAGTGAGAGCCCCAGTCTCAGAAAATAAGGTCGAGAAATGGCAAAGAAAAGCACCTGGCATCAGCCTCTGGCCTCTATACACACCCACAGCACAGATATTTATATGCACACACAGGTAACACACACACACACACACACACACACACACACACACACACACAAGCATTTTACTGTAAATGAGTGGGTCTCAGTCACCATCTTGAGATTAATATACTAATCCAAATCTTTTGGGGTCTCTCAGCCGTTTGTAAAAGTATGTGTTTTATAAGCTGCTGTTTATATGTTTACTGCTTTTTAATAAAGAATATAGATAACCAAATGTGAGATTATTTGCCCCATTTTGCTCATTAAAAAGATCCTCCCAAAGTACTTCAGACAAAATGGATTAACTTCTAAGATGTAAAGTAGATTATGAATGTTTATTACATAGTAAAACATTTAAATTTTAATTACACATTTAACTTACACACTATTCTATACTTGATACATAATTTTGTCATAATTTAGAATATGGCTCTTTTTTCATTTTTATGAAACTTTATTGTGATGCCAAGATTTGAACTCAGGGCTTCATGTACCTTAAGTGTGTGCTATACCACTGAGACATATCACCAGCCCTGAAACCATTTTTTAACTTTACGCATGCGTCTTGGATTTCATCATGTTCATCCCCCATGAGAACTGCTTTCCAAGCCGTGGCTTTTCCGAGAATGTGTTGACCTTAATTTCATCCAGCTAGTTTGAGAGACGGTATCTTTTGGACGCATGTCTTATCCCAAATCCCAAATCCTCCCTTGTGTGAGCTTTGGGCTGTCCTCTGGTTTGTGATCTTGGTGACATAATCCTTGGGTGAATTACCTGAGAGACTTCAGAAGGCTTGCTTAGAACAGTGATAACGTTTGCCACCCATGAAGCTGAGCCTGAAGATCAAAATCAAAATCTGAATTAAACCTTTCACCTACTTTAAAAAAAAAAATGATCCTATCAGATGGCCTACATAAATGTCTAAAACTGGCGTGGGCCAGTCATTCCAGGTTAAGACATCCTCCCTCGATACTGCACCCTCTTTAAAGTAGGCAGGACAGAGTTTCAGATAAGACCCAAATCCTCTTCTCAGAGGTAGGTGTGGGAAAGGAGCTGTCTTTCCCTCACTTTTGGATTTTTGGATATGCTGTCCCATAAGCCTTCTATAATTTGTGATGTGCTTAAGCTTAAAGTAGGTTTTTTAAAGTTTTTTTTTTTTAATGTGTGTGAGTATTCTGCCCGAGCATGTATCTGGATACCATGTGCGTGCAGTGCCCACGAAGCCAGAAGAGGGCGTCAGATCCCCTACAACTGGAGTTACAGACAATTGTGAGCCCCCATGTGGGTTCTGGGGTTTGAACCCAGGTCCTCTGGAAGAGTGGTGGCCTGGCCTCTTAACCGCTGAGCCATCTCTCCAGCCCTGAGGTTGATTGTTTATTAGCACTTAAAGAGCTGAAAAGCATGTTGGGGTGTTTAGCGTGAAATGGGGGGGTTGACTACGGGAGTGAAAAACTTTTTTTTTTTCCTCACAGGCTGTGTGGCCGTGAGACCCCAATTACTGATGGGCAGGAGAGGGAGAAGCCACTGCAGATGTGGCCGGTCCTGGCTTGTCCTTGCTACACAGCCATCTCCTAGCTAGGGGCAGCTGCAGCCCTGACAGAGTCTATCTGTCGTCATGGCAGCCAGTCTAGGTGCTGGTCGGGCATGGGTAGAAAAAAAAAAAAGAAACAAACAAAACAGGTTTGATCTTGGTAAAGCCTCACCGATGAGGACATAACAGTTAACACTGTAGAGACAGGTCCCTTCTAGAATTGGAATTCACGGGTAACCCAAATCATGTTCCCCACAAATAGACTCACCTTTTCAGAAAATGTCTTGTGGGGGATGAAAACAAGCCAAGGGCCCCAAGACAAAAAAAAAAAAAAAAAGACGTCATTCTAGAACATGCTGTTGGGACGCGTGCGGATGTGCTCAGTGTGGGCTCCTGTCTCTTTCAGGTATGAGCGACTGGAAGACCAGCTGCATGACCTGACGGAACTTCACCAGCATGAAACGGCCAACCTGAAGCAGGAGCTCGCCAGCGCCGAGGAAAAGGTGGCCTACCAGGCCTATGAGCGCTCGAGGGACATCCAGGTACGGGTCCCCTCCTGACTGAATGAACCCTGGGGTAGGGTTTGGCCAGGCCTTAGCCCATGAGACATTCTAACTTGGTGCGTTTCCCTCAGCCCTCAATGCGTGTGGGTGCTACACTTATTTTCTCTACACAGGCGTCTCCCGTCCACCTCCTGGTCCTCCTGGCTTACGTTGACAGTGTTAACTGAGAGATTTTACCCTCCGCTCCTGTTTCCTAACTCAGTTGGCCAGTGTTTATCGCTAAATCCAACCCCACCAGAATTTTACGAAATTTCAAGTGTTGGGCAGCCCTGCCTTCAGGAAGCTTCCTGTGTAGGCAGGGAGTGTCCAAGAGCCGCATTCCATAGTGCAGAAATCCAGTCCTGCCGTACCCCACTAGCTGGCAGTCAGGCATTCCGTGGTGAAACACTGGATTTGAGTCCCAGGTCTGATATCTACCCAGTGTGGTTCTGAGCAAGCTTTGAGTCTCTTCATCTGTAAAGCAACTGTTTTGTATCTGTAAGGATGTCAAGCATTTGACTGCCAGCCTCCACCAAAGCGCTGTCCAGGGCTTTTCTTTTTCTGTTTACTCAATCGCCCTCGGAGGTGGCTCCTATCGTTGTCCCCATTTCTCAGATCTGGAGACCGAGGCACAAAGAGGAGATGTGACCCGAACAGGGCCACAGGAGTCGTCCCTTGGGAATGGCTAAGAAGGCTGGACTGAAAGGGCTAGGCGGGACCCGGAAGGTGGACAGGAAGGGATGAGCAGATCCACAGAGAGTTCGTGTCATAAGCAAAGGCCAGCTGCAGGGCTTCCTCCCGCAGCCCCCAGGCTGCTGTGAAACAAGCCTTGCTTCTTGATCACCTTTCTAAAGAGATGGTAAGAACAACCAGGGAGAGTCTCACCTTTTCAGATCCTCTGTAGTCTGTGTGTGAGCGGAAGGAAGGCCATCGGCCCTCTGAATCCCAGCACACCAGGGAGAAGGCCGAAACATAAAAGATGGCGGTTTCTCCCTGGTGTGCGTGCAGCAGTCCGGCTTTTATTCTGCCCTGGTGGAGGTTGTCTTTACTGATCCCAGAGGTCTGCTCGGACAGTGCTGGGAAGCAGAGCTTCAGAGCTGACGGGAAACGTGGTCCCCAGAGAGCAGGGGACACTGGAGGACGACATAGGCTGTTCCCTGAGTGAGGAGCCTCAGCGTCCCCAGTGACTGGCGTGGGGAACGGAGCCATCCTCTGTTAAGTCACTCTATTTAAAACATTTTTTATTATATTTACTCGTGTGTGTGTGTGTGTGTGTGTGTGTGTGTGTGTGTGTGTGTGTGTGTGTGTGCCCCACAGCACACATACAATGATTACAGAAGAACTTGCAGGAACCAGTTCCCCTTTCTATCTGTGGGTCTTG